CCACTTAATTTACATTTATGTAAAATATTTATTTATAATATTAAAATTGGTTTTTATAACTAATTTAATAAAATTTATTACACAACAAAGAGAGAAAAAAAAACCAATTAAAAAAATTAAAACTTTTTCATATCAAAAAATAAAATTTAACCCAAATTTTATTTACGAATCGCATTAAAAATTCATTAATAAAAATTTCATTTATTTCACAATTCTCCATTGGTAATTCGAATTTATACAAATGCACAGTCATTAAAAACATTCATACATTCAGAAAAAAAGCACAAATTTCGTAAACAATGGTTGTTATCGATTAAAAAATACGGCAGCGAAACAATTTTATTGAATTTACAAGGTTTTTTTTTAATAATAAAAAGATGAGGAAAAAACAAAATGATAGTTTTTTGGAAAATTTCAGGGAAAATTGCAATTTATCTTTATTGAATACTAATAACGAAGAAAATTTTCCCATTATATGGAGAAAAAATAAAAGAGAATTTTTCATAACTTTATGGGCAAAAAAGTTTTACATTTATGTTTTGTGCCCTATATAATCTGCTTCGGAAACAAAGTATAACGTAAAAATTTTATTTTACTGAGAATTATTTGAGATGATCAAATTTTATTTGTTTTAGTGGTTCTGAAGTTTTCCACTAAATAATTTATGGGGAATTTATGTTGTGTATTAAAACCGAATTTGATATTATGTTTAAAGTTCGATGCTCAATTGATTTAAAAGCAGCTCAATTTAAAAATTTTAATCCCAACACTCATATGAAATCTGATATGTCAATATGATGTCATGTCACCATACATAGCAATTCTATTTAAGAAATCGATTGAACCTATACTACTGTAATTTTAACCGAAAACACATTGCATACTTCAAGGATGAAAACATGATTTGAAAGAGCATTCAAGTCTGATTCCCGCATGAGTAATATTGGAGCATGAAGTTAATTAAGAAAGACAATTACTTTTAAAAAAAACTTTAAAAATTAATTTTGCATTTTTACAGAAATTTGGACTGGGCATTGGCGTTTGATGGTCAATTTGAAGCTGATGAGTCACTTCTGCCGTTTTTAGAAAAAAAGCGAGACTTTGGAGCATTATTGTGTGAATGTGAGGTGGCAACTCTCTTATGACTGAGATACTTCGGCAGAGGCTTTGTGATTCCCGCGGAAGTCTCATGACTCGGTATTGTTAATTTAAGTGGGGATGAAAATCACAAAAGATCATATGATCGCAGAAGTGCGAAAAAGAAGGGGGAGGAGGGGAAGGGAACGGATTTCTTTCTAGAAAATAAATCGTTTTTTGGAGCCGAGAACCCTATTATAATGGACTAAATATTTAACTACATTCACTATTACATACAATCAATTCTTAGCACAGAGAAAATTTTACGTCTGAAAGTCATCAGCAATAATTTTTATTTGAATTTGAGTAGCTTTTAATTATTTTAATAACATTTAATAAAAAATTTACAATAAACTTTCGCGGTTCTCCCACTATTTACAAGAATTTTTCATTTATTATTAAGCACTTTATATTTAAAGTCAATTTTTTGAAATATTATAGTGGCATTCGCAAAATCAATGTCATAATTTTTGTTTGTCAAATTTCCAAAAAAAAAAACAAAGAATGACCCAAAGTAGACAGAAAAAATTTTACAAATAAAATTTTCATACAAAAAAAAATGTCATATGCGACTCTAGCGTATAATTGTAGAATAAAATGTGTCAAAAATTTTTTATTTTAAAAACCGAGAGCAATAATGTTAAAAAACATTTTCTCATTAACAATCTCTCGATATTTGCTTTGGTATTTTTTTTTACCAAAGATAAATAGATAAAAAAAAAGCGTTTACAAATACACAGAGGACTTAAGGACTCAATTCACTTTTAATCATAATTTTTTTTTCAAAAGTTATAAATGGAAAAGTTTCCAATTAACAAAAGTGGAAAAATGAGTAAATCAAACGAAAAAAAAAATATAAAATCGCTAATAACTAAAGTTCTGAAACGTTAATCACATATAAATAGCCTGCAATTATGTTTCCTTTTTATGTCAAAATGATTATTTTCTGCCCTATATGAACTTAAAAAAATATTAATCGAAAACTTTTATTTTTAGGTACTCTAGAACGTGGATATGAAAACGTAATAATTAATAAAGTGGCCAGATGATGTAAAATCAAAAAATAAATTAGAAAAATTAATTCCCCAATTTAAAAATACAAAAATGCTAGGCAAATCCTACATACAGAAATCTACGAGCCGAATTTTTTGTAAAATATTTTACTTGTGTTTGCTGTAAGGGGTTGGCGAGTGTTAATTTAAGGTTTCCTGATGGACCTCCTTGTTGGAACCTAGTGTATGGGCTTTAAGTAGGGTACCGGGCGGATAGTCCCCCGGTCGTTTTACTACTACAACTACAATTTGAGTAAAAAATTCCAAAAAATTTCCTGTAGCATAAAAAAGTGAAAAAATTTTCAATTCAATGCTTACCATGCAGCAACTTTTCACGATATCGAGCAAGATATTTGAAAAAATACAAAAAAAAATTCACGTTCCTTGTTTTTTGTTTTATTAATTGTATATAGCAAAGTCAAAATTTCACTTTTTCCATCTTAATATTTAATAAGACTGAACTTGTATAAATCTACCTCAACTTCTTTTTATGAACACGTAAATTATTCAAAACTCTAGGCAATCCTAATAAATGAAGGTAAAATACCTACATATGCAATACTTAATCTATTTAATCCCGAAAATAAAATTCAAAGAAGCAGGAAAAAATAGAGACAGGACCAACTTATAAGAAAAGAGGCAAAAAAAATCAAGTGAAAAAATTTATTTTTTCTTGTAAATAAAGAGAACAAAAATGAGAAAAAAAAACAAGAGAAAAACATTTTTCTCTTATTACTTTTTGTCTCTTTTTGCTCTGCTTTTGAATTTTACCTTTTTTTTCTGTTTTGTTTTTTTTTGGCTGTTGTATTGCCTTGATTTCTTTTATTATTGAATTTGTCATGAGTCATGGGCATAAAATAGGGACTCGTTACGAATATGTATTATAAAGAAGAGCCCACAAAACATGATCACGGAAAACCAAAAAAAAACAAAAGAAAAAAAAAAATAAATTTTGATTTCTGCCACAAATTTTTTTTTTTCTAACAGGGTCTTTTTCTCCTGTTTTTCGCTTCTCTTATTTATTTTTCTAATTTTTCTCATTATTTATTTTTTTTTTTAAATCACCGAAATGTTTATGTGACTCTACACTCTGATAGTAATATGGTGACAGAATGTGTGAATTTTATTGTCTTTTATATAAGAAAATTCAATAATTTTCCATACTTAACAATGTCGTATATCTAACACCGCTGAGAAAAACAAGTGATGTAGTCATATTACATTACATTTGAACATTGTCGGCTGAGTTGTTAATTAAAAGCAAAAGCGTTAAGATCGATCAGTTATCAACGAACAGAAATGTGATCCTCAGCAACGACGACATTTTTGTACAAGAACTAAATATTTCAAAGTTTATGGCACAATTAACAATTAAGTCAAATTTTCTATAATTTTAGATCTATAATTTTAATCATTTTCTTTCAGAGTGAGAGAAGTAACCTAAACGAATAAAGCAGTAGAATTTTGAACTAAAGTTCAGACAACATAAACATATACAACTGTGGCAACTGTTGGCGGAAGTTGCTAAAAATTGTTCAAAAATATTATAATAAAGGACAAAAAAAAATAAGGAATTTGAAATAGCAATTATTCCTATTTAGAAGCAAGGAAAGACGAGAACAAACAAACGTAGCTAATTGCCTGAGCAAAGCGGCACGTAACAAACCCGCATAACCATACGACTAACTTCTATAGAATTCTCCTATAAACTACCTGATACTTCTATATTTTTATTAATATTCGATAAATTTAATTACCTCCAACATACCATGTATAACAATACATACTACTATTGTTATACGTATAACAAATATTTTTTTTGTTCTTTCTGTCTTCTTCAGACTTAGATGACAAAATGTTGGAACGGTTATAAATCACTTTTATGACTTTTAGTTTGTCATCTTAATTCTTCTTTTTGATTTTCAGGTTTCGTTTACACTTATAAATTACTGTAAATTCTTTTTATAAATGATTACATATATGAAATGACCGCAAATTAGGAGTGAAAAATACGAAGAGGTGGGGAAGGGTGGTGGAAATAATGTCAAACCGTTAGTGTATTAAGAATAATTTATATTTTTGTCATAAAATTTCTTCTTTTATCGTTTATTTTGGTATTAGTATTGATATTTTTGAATTTTTTTCTTAAATAATAAGTTTTAAGTACATAAAAGTACCAAATTTAAGTTATTAATTATGACCATATTACAAAAACAGTTTGTAACTATAAATTTTTCTTATCTATCGTCCTCTATATTTTAGGTTTTCAATAATAAATGAAGGTATTACATAAATTATAATATTATTTTCCTTAATTTATGCAGGCTATAAGCTACTTTCTTCCCAGCACAAAAGAATATTTCCCAACTAAAACTTTTATATTATAGACAATTAATTCAAAGTTTATTATGATTATAATATCGTTTCCATGTTAATTAAACACCAATTAAAATTTATAACCCTCACATTTCAATGATCACTTCAAAAATTATTTATTACAAAATTCTAGGTTTCATACACTCGTACAAACATACATGTATGCACGTAAATTTTGAATATGCAGCGACAAAATCTCATATTTTAATTAACATTTTATTTAATTTTACTAATCATTATAATTTTCATTTCACACACACTCCAAAAATACACTTGCACAATTAACTTAATTATAACTTAAATGCATGACTGAATATTATGTGTATTTAATGTATATAGGTCCTTACACAATATGTACATATGTGTATAGTAAAATATTTTACATAATAATAATTATTTTAAACAAAGTTATTATTATAATAGTTTATTACTCACCTGAATCATTTTCTCTTACTTCTGAAATTTGTAATTCAGTATTTTCATTAAATAACATTATTCTATTGTCTTTTATAGATGATGGTGATACTAATTGTTGCTGTTGCTGTTGTTCTTGTTGTTGATTTTGTTCTAATGCAATACCATTATGTTTCCACCATATTTTTGGTTGTGGATTACCATCTGCATCACATTCTAATATTAATGTTGCACCAGTTTTAATAGTTTGACTTTGTGGTGCCAAAATAATTTCAGGAATTTCTACATTAAAATATTAAGAAAAATAGTAAAACATAAATTAAATATATAATTTGACATTAAATATGCATACATGTTTATTATAATAATAAAGTAATAATGATGTTGATGATGACAATAATAATAAATTCATTCTAATAGTGTTATTAAAATGTTGACAAAGTTTTACGGTAAAATTTACGGTAGGTTAACCAATGTTTCTATATTAAATGTTGTGTTGGTATTTAAAATTGTTGATGTATAGATGACAATTATTTTAAAAATTATGAATGAAAAATTATTTTGACATTATTTTGTATTCATTAATTTAACAGTTAGATTTTTAGTCAACTGTTAATATTTTTGTGTTTATGAAGGTTGCATTAAATTGCATGAATTCAATTTCCATGTGAATGACTTTTTTTAATTTAATTATAATTGAAAGTAACAAAATGTACTGGAATTCTATACGAAATTCTTTGGATCCTGAATTCGTTTTTTGCTAGTTGAAAGCAAATTTCATATGAAAGTAAAGTAGCAAAATTCATTTAACAGAATTTTTCTTTGAGAATTGTTTTCTAAAAATCAATTAGTAAATTGTGAACAATTGTCGTCCAACTAAAACTAAGTCAGGATGTCTGTCTAGCAACGCAGCCCATTTTACGTTATAACATTTTAAACCTTCAAATTTCTCATTGAAATAAAAATATTAAATCAAAATTTTGAAGATCAAAAATTAAAATTTAGTAAAAAAAACCCGCCCCGCTTTTGTAAATTAAATTTCAGAATTAAAGTTTTTCCTTCTCAAAATTTTTATAAAATTTTTAATGGGAATTTACGCAATGTTAAATATTTTTTTCTTAAGAGAACAAAATTTTGTACAATTAATTAATTAATGGTAATTAACAATAATCATGGGTCATTTACTTCTGTCTAACAAAAAAATAATAATTAATGGTTTATCATTTCCTCTAAAAAAAGGAACAACTTATTTTAACAATTTTTACATTTCAATGTTTTTAAAAATCTTAATTAATTATTCTAAATTATCATACACAGGGGAATCTTCATATCTTTATTAAATTTAACTTTAAATTGATTAATGATTCAAAATTTTTAATTATTTTTTTTTTCTTGTATGAACAAAGAAAATTTCGTAATTACAATAATGGCGTTCAATAATTTTCAACTTGAAATATTAATATAGAGAAATAAAATTTTTTGACAAGAATTTTTGATAAGGATGTAATAAAGGACATTTCATGTGCCATACAACATTCAATTCTGAAAATGATATTCAATTGTAAAGAGATTTTCTATTAATATGAGCAAACGAATTGCTCCTCTCATGGAATTCTTAGCAATACAATGTAAGAAATTTTAGTATTCAAAAATTATACAACAATTTTGCGGAACTTGCTTTTAAAATAAAATAGCGACACCATGAATGGTAAGTGGTCGAGGTGGAGAAGGGCCAAAACTTTCGGTATGAATAAAGACAAAAGGGTAACAATCGTACCAAATTATTAACACCCGCTATAATATTTTTACACTAAATACAACTAGAATGATTTTGGAACAAAATACATAAAGTACAATGTTAATACATAAAACAAGATCCTGTATGATATATTACGCGCTTATAATAACATTGATTAAATTGTATAAATTATCGCTTAAAATATTTTGAACATTAATCAAAATGAAATTTGATGCGAACAGCCCATATTCGACAGAACAGTATACACTTTCCAAATGACATTAACAAGCACTAATTATTTTCGCATCTTTAATGTAGAAAAGTGCAATCGCGTCAAAAACTCGACATTTAAAATTTTTTCATTTAACAATACCCCCTAATCCATGTCGCAATAAATTGTTTCTTTATGTTACTTTTAAATAAAATTCTTGAAAAATAATAAATGAAAAATTGAAATAAGTACAAGGACTTGTAAATTCCAAAGTTTTTGAAATTCAACTTTTTTTCCATTTTGCAAAATATGCCAAAATACCATAAATTAGATCATAATGATTTCGGTAGATTTCAATATGCAATACACATAACTATAAATAACTGCGTATTAAATTTACACCTGATGTTAAAAAATCAAAACAACATTCAATATTTCCCCCTCTATCGTACATTTTAAGAAATAAAATTTTAAAAATGGCGTAACATTATATGGAATTTTCGTTTTCAAACCGTAGAATATAAAATCCGATGTAATTCCAAATCGATAAAAAAAGTTTTTAATAAATTTCATACTAGTGTTAACCAACACAATACCCACACATTTAATTAATTGAACTTCAATAAATTGACCAACTTTTATTTATCTTTTATATAAAAAGTTGTCATTTGTTCGTTTATGTATGTACGAAATGTTGCCCAAAACCAATTTATTATAAACTTATGCTCTCAAATTTTTTTCTCTTTAAAAACTTTTAATATATCTCAAAATATTTTATAAAATACAATTTGTTTATACCCAAAACCTTCAGTGTAAAATTCGGTGTTAATTTAAACATTTCCGCCCGTACATTTCTCCGTCTGTCGGTTCTATCGCAAGATTACTCAAAAACAAATATGGCAAATACCACCAAATTTTCAGATATTGCTCCTTTTCTGTCAAGGATGGCTGCTATTGTAATTAAGCCAATTAGAAACAACGGATTCGGCTGGTTACCGAACCCATATAGATTATTCCAAATATTACAAAAGCTAATAAAGATATTGGTATCAACTCTTGTAAACGTGAGTCGAATTCAGATAGTTTTAATGGAATCTAGATCGGATGGCTGCCACACAACTCTGAAAACTAATTTTAAATAATCGTAAAAAAATATATTAAAAATAATTTATATTAATTTAAATTAAGAAAAATACTAATTCATCCAATACTAATTCAGGTAAGTGTAACATTCGACAGATTCAGGTAACTGACATCTTTGACAGATTAAATTAACTGTCATCTTTGACAAATTCAGATAACACTGTCAGCTCTTAGATCTTTGGTATTGCAACAAGTTCAGGATTGTCTATCCGACAATCCTAAAAGCTAATGTTAAATATTTAAAAAACAGGTTGTCATTATCAGATGTTCAAGGCGTGTAGGGTATTGTTCAGTCAATTGAGATCGGCTGAAATGTTTTTACTTGTTTTTGGGAAAATTTCAGTACCAATTTCAACATAAGTTTTCTTTTAAATTTATTTTCCGAAAAAAATTTTTTTTTTAAGTTAACGAAACGATTTGTCTCCCACAATCGATCGATTTAAACAAGAAACATTTCAACAAAGAAAGCAAAAAATTCTTTCTATACCCGTAATTTTTCTCTACGTTTTTGATACAAGGACAATAAAAATGTTCGAATTTAATTTTATATATTGTTGGAAGTTTGTATATGTGTTTATGCTTAAGAGTTTTATGTTTTTATCTAAGGTTTGTATGTTTATTTGTTTGTAAAAATATTAAAGAAAAAAAATACACGGCACATTAATGTTCATTAATCAAATTATAAAAGTGTAAGTGTATGAGTTCAATAAGATGTGCATATGTGTATGTGAATATAACAATACAAAAAATTCATGTTTGTGCACAGGAAAGAAAGTCAAATGATTACAAATTACTAAGAAAGAAAGAAAAAATTTTTTTTGTTCCTTTAATTTTCGGTGAACATTATTGATTCACTTTACGTGTTAAAATGTTAAGATGACAACATTTTTCAAAGAGAGATCAATAAATTTTTTAGATACGATTACATAGAGAAAGTGATGGAGTATTGATTACAGTGGCCTCTGCTTATTTCATAGTCATAGCTAGCAAATTTTTTTTTTTAACCAAATTTTTGTGGTAGTCTAAAGATAACGACAATATCATCGTATGTAAGGTTTTTATGTTTATACGTAGGTATCTAGGTATCACATAAAATAGGCAACACATAAAAATGAATTGTAAAAATAGAGAAAAATTCCGGACCGAATTTTTATTTAAATTTAAAAAATAGTCACTTTTTTTTGGGAATCTTAAAATATTGAGAAAAAAATGATCTTAAAAAAAGTTTTTTTAAGTAGAACGCAAAAGATTTTCTTAAAAAAAATTTTTTGTGGGAAATAAATTCGGTAAAAATTTAATTCTTATCTTCAGAATGTGTCCAAAAATATTAAAATTTAAACTATAATGAATTTAAAATTAAATTCACTCTTGAAAAGCAAATTTCGGGTGAAATAATATGACGAATACGATATTGAAACTTGCTCATTATGACCATGAGGATACGAACTCCCTTCATTGGGCCGGAGCCATGCTTTGGTGTGCCCAAGACAACGGTCTGGCGTACCCTCAGTGAATGGGAGGGGCGGGCCAGAGTTGAACACTGGGACAGCTGCCTGGGCCTGTCGCACTCAAGGAAATTTGTGCGTCCCCTGGGACCGGGGGTTGCAAGATCTGACCTTGCTCAGTCGTCCAAACTTGAGAACATTAGTGGGGGTTCTCACTGGACACTGCCTCACGAGGGTCCACCTGAAAAGGATGGGCAGGGTGGCGGATGAGGTCTGCCGTTTATGCCTGGATGAGGACGAAACCATGGAGCACTTGCTGTGTGAGTGCGAGGCGTTTGCTCGCCTGCGGCTGAGGTGCTTCGGGGGGGCTTTTTGACCCTGGGGAGGACCTCGTAGCTTGATGTGGATGCCATACTGCGGTTTGTCAGGGGCCTAGGAATTGGGCTAATATAGGGGGATAGGAATCACAAAAAATCCTATGGGTCGATTTGAGTAGGCCCTAGGGGCCTCAGTCCCAGTGGAGGAAAAAAAAAAAAAAACTAATATTAGGGGTGATCAGAGGGGTTACCCGAATTTTCTCAATGGATCCCATATATTTGAACAAATTAACAGCTACGGAGAAATTTGTGTTATAATGTGACAACTTGTTCATTTCAGGATAGTTACATATCTCCTGCAACCACATTTTGAGATCAATTCCTACACTACTCTGAAAACTAATTTAAGCTAGGTTATATTCATAGAAATGTTCATTTCTTTGAATATAAATTTTCATAGTAAATTTATTCATAGAAATAAAGTTGGATATACGAGTATCTCAACCCCGGAAAATATTCGATATTTCTTTTAGCTCCATTGCTCACTCTCTACGTATTTCATCAAATCGATGTTTTTTAACCTACACCGTTCGCAAATATAGTCGGGCCGCATTTTACACAATTTAAGGTTTTGAAATAATTTGAGCCACAGTTGTGGTTTAACGTTTGCAACACTTGTACCACTGCGTTACTCAAGTTCACTACCTTCATTATTGCGATTTTTTCGAAGAATTATTGCGCACCGAGATATGAAAAAAGTTGACAATCCCTGCTCTAAATGAAAATATAAAATAAACTAATATTTATTTATTTTTTTCCCAGATCAATTTTAAAATAAAAACAAATAAAATATAAAATGGATTCTACGTAATGTCGACATATACGATTACACAGAAATTTATAGGTGTTTCTTAAAATTTTTAACTCTGCTTTTCACATATTTCAGTTTTTCACCTTTTTTTCTGCCTTGCTTTTTGCTTTCATTTTTACCGTTATCCATTATATTATTAAAGCTTATGGAAAATTTTTCATTTAAAATTAAGCAATAAATGTCAATACCATTCAGGTTATATAATGTATTAGAAATTTTTTATATTCGATATTAATATTGCGTTCAGATTATAGTAAGGACGCGTACGTTATATAACTGAATTCTTGTATATATGTGTGAATATCTAAGTATATGTCCATATTTTTGGGTTCTTTAATGTAGTTTTATAATAAGAAACTTACCTAATGTTATTTGAAGATCACATATTTGCAGAACGTGTAAATTACGGACAAAAAAAAAACAGGAATAAGTTAAGAATGTGCTGAAATATTGAAAGGGAGAAAACAAAATGAAGAATTAACATGTTATTTTAATGGTTTGTGTACCGATAAATATTTTGTATGTCGATTTTAGCAACCACGTAAATTTTCTTTTGTAATCGAATAACAATGTATTGGACGATGTAGCACAAACATTGAGAGGAAACATGTTAATATTACGCCAAATAAGTTTATAAGTTTTTCTGAAATTGAACACTAGAAGCTATTTTAAACTTAAAATTCTTGCGATTATCTGTTTTTTAGTAGCTTGTAGTTAAAAGAGCTTCCATACGAAATGGGAAGAAAAATTTACATCCGAAAATGTTGTTCATCAGTAAGCCTCTAAAAATATTATACCGCAAGTTTTAGGCCAGAAAGAACTATGGGTAATAAAAAATAAAACAACCAATGAAGGCGCAAGTGACAAACAGAAAATGAAAATAAATAGGAAATGTTATAAGTCGAGTAACAGTTTCTGCGAAATTTACATGGTAAAAATGTTGAAAATTCAAAATGGCCTCAGAGAAGGGACATAAAAGCGCAATATGAAAGGGATATTAAACGCCAAATTTTTGCATAATCGATTCTATTTCAATTACGCGATCATTGCATGATTTTTGTGCTTTCATTAAAAATAGTTCGAAACTAGTAGAAAGCTTTAAAGAGTCACTGAAACCACCAATTTATTTTGCTTTCACCACCTACCCTCCCTCTCAAAAAAATACTTTTCTCAAAATCAATAACTAGCAAACTAACCATAAAAATCTTAAACGCGTTAATTACATGCTTTTATTCAATTCTATACTGCCACTCTATATACAGCTACTCTATATTCATATAATCCGCCTGTATATATGCAAACAGAGTATGTTGTACTTATTTAAATAACAAATGAAGCATGTAATGAATTTAAGCATCCCAATAATAATAATCATAATCAATCATTGAAAAAATTGAATAAAAAAAAAACTGAATTTTCTTTTTAATAAAATAAAAAAAAATCTTTATGAATAATTAATTTAGCAAAGCATTTTTCAATTTTTAAGGAAATTATTCATTTATATGAGGATATCCTGCGATTTATATTCAGGAATTTTATCATTTTCAATATAAATACACACAATTCAGTTAAACTTTAATCAATTGGAAAATTTTTGCAATTTTCCATTTTACAAATTTATTTTTTTTTTTTGTTTTCTTCTCTCTTAAAATTTTCCCATTTATTTTTATTTCATTCCGAATTTCTTTAATATTTTAATATTATAATTTACTTGTGAGAACATCAAAGTGTGCGGTGTTCAAATTGTGTTTTTAATAAAGTCAGAAAATAATTTAAAATAATAAAATACAAGACCATATTCTTTGAAATTTTTCTTTCTTGAATTATAAATAAATTCCATTCAATTAAATTAAAAGCAAATAGAGAATTTATTGCTCCCATAATATGGTTGTATAGAGAGTAACAAAAAAAAAAATGGCATTACGTACGACTAACGGACATTCAAAATGTAAGTAGCGTGAAAATTGTTTTTCTCCTTAAGCAATAAAAATGAGTTTCTTTTTTAATGAAAATCAAATTACAATTATTAAGAAACTCAAAAGTAGAAAATTTTCTCTCTTTACAATGTTGAGAAACGAAAAAAAAACACAAAATGGAGTTTTTATTTTCCTCTTCATTTGACTTTAATTTAAAACAAAAATGTAAAACAAAAAAATAAATAAATTTATGCTCATTAATTATACAAAATTGGAAAATGATTTTTTTATTCCGAAAATAATAAAGAAAAATGAGAGCACACAGATTTTTAAATCACTTAAGAAAACCGAAATAATTCCTTCCTAATTCGTTTTTCTCATTTTACTCTTTTTTATTTTTCTTGTTAATTTTAGTATCGCTCTCTCCTTCTCTCTCTCTTTCGTTTGCTCTATAAATCGTGTTTACAGCTTTGTTTAACTAATGAAAACAATAAAAGTTTTACTGCATTTCATAAAATAATGAGAAAAACAAGAACAATAAAAAAAACCCCGACAACTATAGGCAAAAATAACAACAACAGTAGTAGTTGTTATTCAAGAGACTTTTTTTCTTTTATATTATATGAGAAGTGCTATAAGAAATGAAAATGAATCCTTCCTCTTGTCACGTTCTGTTGTTATACCACCGCCCTACCACAATCGTAAAAAATTTATTCAGTCATCCATAAATTATTTTCTGCAAGAGATGCACCATTTAGTTATGTTTTTTTTAGAAAAGCAAGACTTTTTATATAATTTATTATATTTATGTATGTATGTATGCATGTATTTAGATTTGTTGAGGGAACATCATAGAATACTCTAAAAGGATTCTCGAAAAATATAAATAAAGTAGAAAAAAAAAACAAAAATTTTATAATATGAAAGAAAACTTACCAGACGTAACCGTACTATTTGTTGTTGTTCCATTTAAAATTGCTAGCATTTAAATAGAAACAATAAAGAAAATATGAGAAAAAAATTTCAGAAAAAGCTCGAAAAAATGAAAAAGGCACAATGAGAAAAAAACAAAACGAAATGAAGAGATTTTAGTAAGGAAAACAAGTAATAAACAAATTTTATGCATCAAATCTCAGCCGTACCCATACCGTACTCAATTTCAAAAATGTCTCTCTATATTTTTGCATGAATTTATATATTTATTTAAAAATGTATAGATGCACAAAATATTCAAGAGAATATTACGAAAACCAAAAACAAAAAAAAGAATAAAACAATAAAGTAATCATCAAATTCATTTTCGAATGTTGAATTCAGACAGAGTGGTGCAAAATGAGCTCAATAGATTTTTGGTGATATTCTATTCACTACAATCACTTTATTTTTTGTGAAATCTCTCAGGAAACAAATATATTTCACTCAGGAAACAAATATATGCCAATCGGGCCTATAAACTCAAGGAGTAGAGAATGATTAGCGAGTTTCGCTCTTTTGGGTGACCATAGATCTCCTGGAATACTGCTATATACAGGAAAGAGCAGTGACGGCTCTGTGGACGTGTAAGAGTTTTGTTGGCAAGACAATCATCAGCTATATGTTCATGGTATGGCTGGCTCAAGGTTGAGCAAGTGGATGCGCAGACCAAATTGGGTAGATTTTAGAGACCGGCTTGTCTGGGAGTGCTCAGTTAATGGATGTATCCCTCATCCACCGGTAGTATAAGTGAGATATGGAAGGACTATATTAAGACGCGGGTTGGCACGTCGTTTGGAGGGGAGAAATTCCTTTGCCAATATCTTTCTTTAGTAATTCTTTACAATCTAGGTTACAACCGCAAATCTTTCTTTACTTATCCTTTATCATTCATTTAAAAATTTTTTAAGACAGCTCATTTTGTAACACCTTGCATTAGATGATATCTGTTTCATACCACATATGTATGTACATAGATTCGAAATATACTTGATTTAAGAATCTATGTTCACATACATTTATTTTTGATTTTCTGAATTTCATAAAATTCATACACATTTATATAGCCCATTATAATAGTCATAAAACCAAAATAAAAACAAACACATATACAAAAAAAAAAAAAAACAAGCAAATAATAATAATAATAATTCTTTACCCTTTACTTGAACTCGAGTTGTTGTCTGAATATTCCCAAATTGATTTCCAGCTTGACATTTATATATACCAGAATCATTTTCACTTGGGAATGGTACAATCAATGTACCATTAGAATGAATTCTTAATGATGAACTTGATTGCGTTAGTTGTCTTCCATTAAATGACCAATATATTTGTGGTTGAGGTTGTCCACTTATTAAACAATGTAAAATAATTGAATCTGTTGTTGCAACAGTAATACTACCCGGTGGTTTAACAATGAAATTTGGTGCATTTTGTAAACTAGTTGATGAAGATGATTGGATATTGCCACCTAAATCAATACAATCATATAAAGATATTTTTATATATTATTCTCTTGATATTAAAAAGTTTATTCTTAATAACAAAGAGCCTTACCATTATTTTGGAAATTTGGTTGTTGCTGTTGCTGTTGTTGCCTTCTAATATCAATATTATCTGTAACAACCATACGAATTTGTCTTGATTTTGTTTCACCAATTGCATTTCTTGCAATACATTCAAATATAGCATTATCATCTATTGTAGCTTTTGTTATTTTTAATGAACCATTTTCAAGAATTTGCATATGTGGTACATTATTTGTTGTTGGATTAATGCCACTATCATTATTACTATCATCATCTGATGTTGAAATTTGTTTTGAATTTTCTGATGATGATGAAGATGATGAAGTGAAAAATGATTGTATCTCATTAGAATTTTGCATCCAAACAATTTCGGGTGATGGATCACCAATTGCTTTACATGGTAATTCAATTGAATCACCAATTTTAGCTATTTCCATTTCATGAGGTTGTTCAATTATCTCTGGTTTTCCTATATTTAAGAAAAATTAAAATGAACATGAAAACAAGAAAACATACATATGTGCATAATATAAAATTAAAAATATGCTTCTTCTCAATAAACAATTATAAAAAAAAAGAATTAGGAAAAGATGCAAAAAAATGAATAAATTTTTCAAATTTGAATAATTATATGGGTATGGCAACAATCAGTCATATAAACATATGCATAATATTTCCATTATTTAATTGAAGTACATTAAGAGATTTGATTGAATTGACAAATTCATTTTTGAAAATTGATTAAATTTTCAAACAAGGCTATTGAGCCTGTTTACAATTGTATGTATTGAGCGTATATACAACGTCTCTCCCTTAATACTTCTCATACCTGCTCTTCTGCAAAAATGGAATTTATTTGTCAAAGAAAAAATGTGAGTTATTATTTCGATATTATTCAATTATTTCGATTTTGAGTCAAACAATTCTCAAATTTTGACAGATAATTTGACATAAATGTTAAATATCTCATTTGGCAGGGATATTTAAACATTTATGTAAAAAGTCAATTTGACCTGTTCAATAATATCAATTATTGCTAAAAAAAGTAGACGGCAGGCAGGTAAACCTGCATTTATACAGCATTTTAATTGTCAACTTAAAAATTTAGTAGCCATATATTTAAATTACATATATTTTAAATATATTCGAAAAAATTAAATTTTGTATGTAAAATTTTCATTTAATTTGTTTTTTAATTTTAATTTTTAGAAAATCATATTAACAAAAGTAAATTTATATTTTCCATTTATTCACTAGAGGGTTGAAGATCTTAACATAAATTTTCAGTTTTAACAAAGCAACATACATTAAATATATTAAATTTCCATTTCTATATTTAATTTCAGCATTTAAACTGCCGGAGACTAAAACATTATTATTAAAAATTATAAATTTCATGAAATAATTCGAGAACAAGAGCTCCTTTTAAACTTACTGCATACAATTTAAAAAAATATTTTAAAATTTTTCTGAAAAATAAAGTTTCATTGACATAATTCAACACAATGGGACCCTGTAGGTTGTTATTCTTATGAATAATGAGAATTCTAAAGAATTTCATGCACATAGTTACAATTCTTAATTTCATACATACAAATAGAGAAAGTTTAATACTTATAAAACATATTTGTGCATGCATTTGTAATGTGCTCTTGGAATTTGTGAATCAAACCCCCCGTTTAAAAAAAAGAAAATACACACACAACGCATGCATACATTCAATTTTTCTTTTCAATTTCAAAGAAAAAATTTTCTTAATTTTTTTATTTTTCTATTTAATAAAAAAAATATTTTCTTATTTGATTTTCGCATTTTATTTGAACTCATTCATATGAGTTTAAATATAATCATATCGTCTAAGTTGTTTGCAATAAGAGAGGTATTGTTTTCATACCAAATTTAATTAATGAGTATAAAACCGGCGAATTTAGGGGTTTTGTTAAAGCAAATTGGAATTTTTGGCGAATTTTCTTAAAGTTTCAAATGTACTTTGCATTTGTGCAGATTAGAACTAAAACCAATTGCACAATTACATTAATTACAAAAAATGAAACCGTACAAATTTCACAAGCCTTTTTACTGACTATATGCCAAATTCTTTGGCAGTTTTGGGAAAAATTAAAATGTTTAAGCTATCTATCCACATTTCTTCAATTTTGTGAACGCTTTCACGAAAACCCGCTTCGATTTGTTGGCGTGTCTGGTCATCAAAAGATTTCTTTCGCAACAACAACAAAATAATATTCAATAGCGTTATGACGCTGAACACATCTTACATCCTTTTACACACGTGCATATTATGAGTAACAAACTAAATTTATTTTCTCATCTTCTTATTTTCTTTTCTTGTTTTTATTCATGCGCATATTTATTGTATATAAGTCATAGCAACGGTCTTAACGATAATGATACCCAAAAGGATTCTTTTCTTTAAGCTGAACATCGTCGCGACGCCTATAATAATCAGTGGGGATAACAGAAATGACATGTTGTGTTTCGTTTCATATATACACATGTTTCAATAAAATAAATACGGATAGGTTAAAATACGCAATAACGCAACGTTAATTACAAAAACTATACGCTAATGAATACGTAAATATTGTACAATAAATTTTCAACAAAATCCCTTTTGATTTAAATTGTTTTTTTGTGATTGCAGAAAACAATATGGAAAATTTTTAAGTGGTTGAATTTTAAAAATAAAGTTGGAATAATTTTCATCAGTAGCATTGAAAATTTATTGAAATTCCAGGTGAATCATTTATTATGAATTCTGTCACTGAAGACAACTGTCATTGAATTTCGCATACAATAAAATTTTGTTAATTCTTTTTAAACCAAAGGAATACGAGTATGAACACCCGAATAAAGAAATAGTTCTAACAGGAGGTCTAATGATAAATCTCCAAATAAAAATAAATTTCTATTTTATGACCATGTAGGGATTAAGTAGCATACTAGATGCCGCATTAGATTGGATTTAAAAAATTTACATAGAAATACAAACACGCGTTTGGTTAATGATTGCACTATATTTTGAAAGATCAAAGGATTTCAAATCTCTAAAATAATTTGTTCACAAATATTTTTGCTACAGCTTCTTATCACATATTGTCGGATTCTGTAAATTTCTCATAACCACGAAAAATGCTAAGAATCTTTTCTAATTTAGTCAGAAAACGTGTTTAAAGTTTCCATTTAACAAATATTGTATTTTCAAATTATGAATTTTAATGAACTTTCGAAAACAATCTGTTTTGATATTCTAGTTTACACAAAAGTGTATGCTCGCTGTTGTATATTTTCGAAAAAATGTGAATTATTTCACCTAAAAATATGCAATTTAAAAAAAAAAGAGGCTCAGTAGAGTTTTACATAGCGTACCGGGCACAATTATTGACATTCTTGAGTGATATTTTTCATAAAACAATTCTATACAGAATTATAAAAATTTGAGTATGGGTAAAATATAAGTTGAATATTCCTCTTTCATAATCATATACTAAAATTTATCGAATGAATAAAGATATTAAAAATTAAATTTGTTACATTATATCATTTAAAAGACCGATGATGCCGAAATATAACTTTTGATATAAAAATGATACTTAACTCATTTATTTGTTAAACGCCCTCAATTATGCTTTGTTACCGTTATATATCTATATTAGAGCTTTTGAATTATTGCCCCAAAAAATATGCAATTTTTAAATAAGACTTTGTTGACGTAGTATGTCATATTTAAAAGACAAAATATGCGAAAATATAATTTTTGAAAATAAAGTCTTTATTTGTTAAACCTCTTTAAAATTACGAATTGAATTATCCCTTTTCCTTTTCAAGTACATATTTTCTTCAAAGCTGTATAATTGGACATAGTCTTATTTCACATTTTACACGCACACATTCACACGTTTTAACTAAAATCATAATAGTATATTCTTGAACTTTCAATATATTTGATTACCTACTCAAAAAATGTCATTTAATTTACAAATATACTTACTGCAATGAAAATCTGATTCAACAAGAGTTATATAAGATTTTCCACGTAATTCTTGTGGTGTTGCACATACAAGTGAAATAGTTGCACGACTCTTTATACTTTTATAATATGTTAAATATGAATAAACACCGCAGTCACATTCAATTGGATTGTTGTCTAATCTCAAACGTTTCAATTGTGGTAAATTTCTAAATGAATTTTCTGGTATTTGAGTGATTTTATTTTTGAAAAGGAATCTAGAATATAGAAAATTTTTTATTATAATTTTAAAATTATTATAAACTTACAATAACTTATATAAAAAATAACATTTATTACAATGTTTAAAATACACACATACATTACAAGAAAGTGAACATGAAATGTAGTAGATCTGTTCGGCATTAAATGTATGTATATATGTAAATGCAATTAAACATGCAATGTGAATAATTTTTATTTTAAAATGTCACAAAAATTCTCTATATAAATTCTTAAGTTTTGTTTAAAATTTATAGTTTTTTTTATACAAATTTTTAAGAGATTTTTTTACAATGTGCTGTCATCCACCCACAGCATTTATTCATGTAAATTTATGCTTACATTTATGCTCACTATGCTGTTGTCTCTCTCTCGAAATAATAATGTTAAAATTTTAGTGATATTTTTTTTTATTTCCAACACTACACAACTACAAAAATTGTAAAATTGTCAAGTAAAATGTTAAGCACTTTAGAGTTTTTTGTTATAAATTACATTTTTTAGATTTTGATTACATTAAGTGAAAATTATTTTTTTTATATTTTATTTTAATTCGCTGTATGTATATGTACTTGTAAATGAATGAATGATTTCGTGAAAAATTTTATGTTTTTCCTTAAATTGCAGTGCATTTCTATGCTTATTTTCATGTAACTATTTTTTTTTATGATGCTACAAATCTTCTTTAATGGATCATTTATCTTAAATTTATATCAGGGCTTTTTTTATTATTTATGGCATTATAGGTGGATAAAAATTTACTTTTGGATAATTTTCAATTAATAAAATTTCGCGACAAATTAGAACCGAAATTATGGTACTTCAATCCATCTGGTACCTCTTCAAACGAAACAAATGTTACAATATGTTATACTTAACACACTAAGCTTCAAAGTAGCTATATTAAAACCACAATTAAGATTCCTCTTAAAGATATTTATACGATGAGTCCGAATCTCGCTATACATAGTATGAAGACACAAAAGTATAGAGCATACAGATTAAAATTTAATGAATTTTGAATTGAGTTAGGAGAAATGAGTTTTAGATGTAATTGTAAACAAAAATTTGAACTTTTTACGTTAAAATATCTCCTACGATGGGATTTTCGTTCACTATAGCTAAATAAGCTTTTCGATTCAATAAGGGTTAATTTTATCCATTGAATAACAACTTTAACTTCTTAAATACATTAAAATTTTTCATAATATTTTATATAATATTTTATATGTACAGAATTTCTGTGACATTTTACTATTTTTTTTTCTAAAACGCCACCAATCGTAAAAGAAATGAAAATTTTTAATTTTTAAAATTCAAATTTCGTTTTTTAAATTATTGGTGGCGCTTCTGAAAAATGTCATTCCAATTTGTTCAAATTCAAATCATACTTACAATGAAACCAATTCTGGCAAATTACTAAATGTTTCTGGATCAATTTCCCATATTTCATTGCTCTCCAAAAAACTAAAATTTAAAAAATTTAATAAATTTTAAAATTTAAAAAATAAATAAATAATAACAGAAAATCATAAGCTACCTAAAATTTAAAATGACAATTTTTCAAAAATTTTTAGGATTTGTGATTTTTCAAAAACCAATTTTAACAAATATTTTCTTCACTACTAAAAGTATATAACTACAAATTTTTTGTAATTTATAATGAAACTTACAATTTCCATATAAAATTTTGTGAAAATTCACTTGCTCCCTAATGTACGTAAAACTAATCAAAAAAAAAAACTGTTTTTTTTTTTTTACAAAAGCCTAAAAGTATGCAATTATTTTAATAGAAAATATAATCATTTGTCTTGATTTTTCATAATCTTTTATGAAAAACTTTGAAATTGACTTCTTGTCGTTGAAATTTCAAAAGAAGATTTCACTAGAAATTCGGCTTAGAACTCATTTGATCTGATCCTAATTTAAAACTTATCACGAACAATGAATACAAAATACGTTTTTCTCTCATTATTTTCCTTTCATTTTTTTTGTTTAAATTTCACAGTAACAGTAAATAAAAATTTTTTAATAAATTTTCTTAAACATTAAAAGATTTTTTGTATTCTTGAAGCACAGTGTTGACAAGTCACAGGAAAAATTATTATACGAGAGAAAAACCAAAAGCAAACATAACAAAACAAGAAAAAAACTTCTTAATTTTTTGTTTCTTATAAAAGATCCTTGAAACAAACTTATAAAAGTTCTACTTTTTCGACAAAATAATAATAAAGATAGGAGAAAGGAAGAAGTAGAAGAAAGAAAAAGAAAAACAATTTTAAATATGCCTAACTTTTTTGGCATCAATTCAAATAAAGAAAAAAAAAGGTAAAAATTTGTTATAAATATTCACTTAAAAAAAAATTTACTTACATACCTACCTAGTCCTATAAATATTTTAAGAATTTTCAGGATAATAGACTCTTTACATTATTATTATTATATTATATATGAATTTAAATATGTTAATGTGATTGTTCGAATTTCGATGGTGATTTCTTCTTGCAAATTCAAAATTGAGAAAAAATTCATAAAATAGAAAAGGTAAAATAATTCAAATTTTTTAACAAAGGATCGAATTGAAAAAATTATTAAGGTCACAAATTAGTACGCCATCTGTTGAAGCAAAGACTAACTGAATCAACCATATTATGGTCACAAACCACATTAATGAAAACCTAATTATTTCAAATCAAAATTAAATGCCATGAATAATTCAACTCCTTCACAAATATCTAGAATATCGAAGAGGTTTCCTCATTTTGAAAACAATATGTATAAAGTGCATAGAAGAATAACAGGTTTTCATAAATAAATGTCTCAGATTAATATGCAGCATATTCTAATCGAGAATAACATATTAGCAACTCGAATTTATGAAAGGTGGAGAGGGGCGTAGTCAAAATCACCCAAAATTTGTTATAAAAATATAAGGCAAATCGGTTTTCCTCTAAAAATGTGAAAATAACAAAGTAATAATCAGCGGGAAACACAAGAGTGGAGGCCTGAAAGTAAAGGGATGTGATCACCTGAAAATAAAGGGACTGGCTATCCAACATGAAATAAATAAAACGCTGATGCCTATTTTACTACCACATACAATATGTGATTCACAAAAGTTTAGTTCAAAATTTCGAACCGTCATAGCAACCTTTAAAAAGAAAACAAATGTTTTATGTTGATTAATTATGTTGTTTCGAAAACTTTATTTCAATTTTTTTCTCTTTTCGTTTTCCTCTTATTTTTCTTATTTTTTTATTATACAATTCGGATAATCATAAATTTTCAATAACTTGTCACGCTCCATATTTCTTTTTTGACTATAAATGAAAAATAAAAACAGGAAAACGTAAGAACATGAAAACTAAAAATGAATATCGTAGTCTCCATAATTTTTCCTACAACAATATTTTCTATTTACACTTGTGCTATACAAGGCTATAGCTCAATACTCGAAGGATAACTTCATCTTTTTTTTAGTTTTAAATAAAAAGAGAAAATTATTCTCTTTTGCTAGAATTCTCTTTCCTCATACCATCCATTTATACATAAGGTTCGGAAGTTCTTAAATTAAGAGGATTTCAAAAAGAAAAGGAAAATGAAGATCGATAAGAGAAAATTTTTAAATTATATTTTAATAAGAATATTTTTTTAATAAATTAGAAAATTACAAGCAAAAAATAACATTCGTACACACATCATATCAAATACATTTTTATTCTCTTGTAGATTTTGAAATTTTGAATTGCTTGTTTATTTAAAATGGAAAATATTCCAAGTTTGGCTATATAGGATACCCAAATGATTTTTGAATATTTTAATTTAAAATTTTATTTTTTAAAATTAAATAGAATTTTTGTGATTTTTTTTGTTAGGGTAAATATTTTCACTTTTGATATGGCGTATATTTTTTTCTTTTATTAGACGTATCACAGAAATTTCTTAGAAATTGAAAAATTCCATTTAAAAATGCAAATTTTAAATAGGAACAAGTTAAACCTTCTCAGTCGGTACTTAGATCCACGTAGTACACTAAATAGAAACTTCACGGATATTATGTCTGACCTATAAGTGGACACACGACGGCCGATTTTCATGAGTCCAGCCTTAATATTTTTCTAAATATTTAAAATTTTCTTTTGGAGTTGTATGGCAGCTATTCGAACCTGTCAAGCAATTCCACCAAAACTTCAAAAATATATTTGACCAAAAATTGGACAGACGACTGCCGAGTTTCATTAAAAGTTTCAGAATATATGTAGAACATAATTGCACACACCTTTGTAAAATTTGGTATTAATACCTTTATTAGGTTTTGAAATATTTAAAAAAAGCTCTTTGAGTTGTATGGCAGCTACCCGAACCTGTTGTCGATTCTAAGAATAACCATGTCGCATACCTGTCTGCCGCGGTACAACTTCGACCACAAGTACAGGGTTCTGTTTCCCGATCGATGGACGTGGGGTCGAGGCCCGGTACTTGAGTCGGGTACGAGCGTATGGTATGCGGACGGGTCCAAAACGGAATCGGGTGTGGGTTCGGGTGTATACGGTGTCCGCCCGGACATGCGTGTGTATGCAACCCTTGACCCGTATTGCACGGTGTTCCAGACCGAAATACATGCAATGGAAATCTGTCTGAGATTCAATTTAGAAAGGGGGTATAGAAACCGCACCATTTATGTGTTCAGGTTACATCCAAGCTGGTCCGAGGCAGTATTGCTGCACTTATGGAATTGGCACCGGAGAACAGAGTCACGCTCATTTGGGTGCCGGGCCATAGTGGCCATGCGGGCAACGAAATCGCCGATGGGCTAGCGCGGAGCGGATCTGGGGCTGACTTTGTGCAGCCGTTGCCTTTCTGCGGTCTGCCTTCTTCCGCCGTGGGTTCAGACTTGCCTGCCTGCTCGAGGCAGAATGCGGCCGTCATTGGCGGGACACAAAAGGGTGCGTCATGCGAAGGTGTTTCTTTCGGCGTACTCCAGCGGATTCACCGCAGAGTTGCTGGGAATGAGCAGGAGCCGGGTTCGCACTATTGTGAATTTCTCCACAGAGCACTGCCCAGTAAAGTACCACCTGCATATGCTAGGGAAGTCGGGCTCCCCCCCTGTGCAGATTTTGTGGGGGTGGCAATGAGACCGCCGTGCACATTCTCTGCGACTGTCCGGCACTAGCATTTGCTTCAATACAGTGTAGATACTGTAAAAATTTCATCAAAAATCCAACAGACATTTTAGTATTTCCTTTCTCTTTAGGTATAAAATAACTTTGACAAGAACTTCCCATTCTTAATTAATTTAATGAATTTTTTTATTAATTCTCTTTTTTCCTCAAGGAATCATAAGTTTGGAAAAACAAATGCCTTTAGGTAATTTTGAAAATTAGTTCATCCTTTAATATAAATATTATTTACTTAAAACTTTTTTATAATTGTTCAATCAAGAAGCCATACTAATAAAAAACTTGTATATAAAAAAAATTTTCAATTTAATTCTTAAAATTTTATTCGATATCGTAATTAAATTTAAAATATTTTGGATATTTTTGCAACTATCGAAATTGAATGAATAATTTGTCTATCAGATGATAGAAAAACTTCTGTTAAACGAATTGTATTTGAATAAGACCCTTCATACACGTTGTATATTCAATTCAAACATATCTTTTCATACATAACCATATCATACACGTTGTATCGTTACCATTTTAATTTTTGCATAATTTTCTAAACTTTTTACAAGTTTTTCCTTTCACTTTAGAATTAAAATAAATTTTAATTTCTTCTCCGTAATTTTAATAAATCCAATTTTTGAAAAATTTTCAATTTATTTTCACATAATTCCTTCATAATAATACTTACAGGCCATTAAGATGAGTGAGTCCTTGAAAAGCGGTCGATGATATTTTACTTATTCGATTATTATTCAAGTATAAATATTTTAAGGATACAAGTCCTTTAAAAGCATCACTATGTATAAGACCAATTTGATTTTCATTTAAAAATATTGTATGTAAAGATGATAAACCTTGGAATGCCTTTGAGGGTATCTCTTGAATTTGATTAAATCGTAAGTCTCTGTAAATAAAAAAAACAGAAAGAAAATATTACGATATAGTAATGAAAATAACAACAAGAACAAGAAAAAATAATAAGAAAATAAAAATCAAAATATTTAATTAGTTTTTAAAAATTAAATTTTAATTAGAAAATTTGCTTTTTCCATAATTTTCTAATTGTTATTTAAATTTTTTTGTTAAGTGAAAATGGAAAGGTTTATCCTCAGAGTGCTTTTACTTATTTATTATAAATTTTAATTTTTTTGGGTTTTTTTTTTTTAAATTTTTCTAATAAGAGGATGGGAAAAAATACTCAAGGACAAAATGTCAAAATAACACTCAACTGTGCACTCGGATAATGGCTTGTTGACCTAAGAACAGAAATACTAGGGAAATTTAATTAGAAAAAATTTTAAGGCAAAAGATGTCTGCTTTGGAAATCAAAACTCTTAAAACTTTGGATAAAAGTTAGATAGTTGGAAATAGGAGGGTGATCTTTTGAAAACTTTGAATGTAATTATCATTGATTAAAATCTAAATCCACACAATTTCTCTATACTACAATGCCACCATACAATTTATACACATTTCTAATGTGGCAGCTACCCAACCTAATAATTAATCAACCAAAATCCAACCACTACCGCATAAAATATTCAAATTGCGCATTCTTTCTTTAATCTTACTTCTATCACAACAAATTTTTTCATACCAATCTCATAAAATTTTATTGACTTCAAAGACATAATTGCGGTTCAAACAAAAAAAAAATCCATTTCAAGTCCATCGCGAAAAGAATTTTCTTGACGTCAATCTTCCAAACAAAAAAAAAATTATTCAATTGCTTCGTTAAATTAAAACTGTTAAACGTTTCTCACTCACTAAATATTGTCATTCAACTTTGTACCTGCTGTACATTCAAAAGGAATTCCAAAATTTTATTAAAAATTATTAGATGCGTGGTATAAAAGCATAAAATATTGTCAAAATGTAAAAAAAAACTTCAAAGTGTACTCGAGAAAAATCAAAGCAAAAAATTTTTTTTTAATTTTGCGGTTCAGGCAAAAATATTTTCCTCCTTCTGACAAAAAAAAAAGTAATTGTCCCAAAATTCCTATTTGAAATTCATCAAAATAATTTAAATTCTTATTGTATAACATTCAAAAGTAAATAAAATTACAATTAATATTGAAGTAGAGGAAAGCCCAGTCATAGTAAGAGTATACTTATATACTCTCACACATCCATACTAACAAAATATACAAATTTCTTTGATAATTTTATGAGATTAAATAAAGTCATTTCCCTAAAAGTATGCAATATTTTTTTTTTTAAATGTAAACGAATGTAATTGAAAAAATGATCCTAATTTTTAGTTAGTAACAAAGTTTTTATTAAATTTTTAAAATAAATTTAAAATTCTAAAGTTAAATATTAAAAAAGAAAAATATTCTTTATGTTCTTTTAATTGAGAGTGGCTCCTTTTGAAGAAGAAGGAAAAACATATTTAAAAAAAAAATTTTAATTGTTTTTAGCACGTTTCGAACAAAATTAGAAAACATTGTATGTAATTATTAGACTCACTTTATTCGTCCAATCATCTATCCGCGTATGTTTACAAGAGTTGAAATAGTTGAAATTTTGTAGACTAGTGGATTTTTGGTAAGACATGTACTTCTCTAGACAAAGTGGCAATTCAAAAATTAATCGTAATCCTAAGCCCAACTTGTTTTAGATTTTATTATTTGATTTCTCTTAGTCAGTTAGTTGTAGAAGTTTAAGATTTTCGCAATTGTGATAATGAACCCAATCATTGCTTTATTTTACGGCAAAACAACTTTTTTCTACGCCTTTCTCTCATAGTCAGATATTTAATTTTTCGTGAAACTGCTAAGTTTTTGTTAAGCATTTACAAAATTCTATGAATTCGTCGATTTCGTAGTGATCTAAAGAGAAATTCAATAATTTTATACCACCCTAAAAGTATGCAACTTTTTTGTACAACATAATTTTAGTATGTGTGCATATCAAAGACAATAATATAAGCAAAAGGTCCCTTTTTTTAAGAATGGTGATTGTATTTATTCCAATTGTAGGGAAATGTGCTACTTTCAAAACCATTGATTTGATCAAAATTTATTTTTTTCCCCTTCTTTCTCAGTTAGTATTAACAATTTTTCCCTATGATTTCTTTAAGAAAATTAATATAAATATGTTTGTGTATGTATGTATGTTTATATGAGAAATTTTAATGCTTGTTAACACATACACGTGCACACACAAACACACTCTTTACAACAAAAATAAATTAACTTCGTTGACAAAAATGGTCTCAATCTTTCTCTTCTTTTTTTTTTTTGTTTTTTTTTTTTTGTTACAATAAAGCTTGAAGGAAAATTTTCAGAATTTTAATAAAACAGAATGAAGTAGAGAGAAACAGAATGCAAAAAAAAATTTTAAGAAGAAAATGAAAAAAAAAAACCTGAAGAAAGAAAATTATTCACAGGTAAATGGCACGCAGGTGGATGGATGGATATAGGAATGAATCCTAAAAGGACATTTTCATTAATTTATTTTTTTTACCTTCCTCCTCCTACTCCAGTTTTTGCGTTTAGTTATTTATTTAATTTTTTTTTCTTTCTTTCTTCTTATCTTACACTATACTACGTTATTTCCTATGTTTGTAGTTATAGAAAATTAAAAATGTGCTGTCGGAAACATAATTTGTCATATGACATGGGTATGGAAATCATTTGACGCTTTAAATGAAAGAAAACATAGCAGCACAAAAAAAATTAAGAAGAGAAAAAAAAAGTGAAACTTAACTACTAATCGGTGCTTTTATACTTGATTTTACACACATAAACGCATCTAAAGTAATAAGAAATGGTAGCAATGAAAAAAGTGAAATTTAATAGAAATCAAAATATTTAAATACACATACAAATACACACACGGACTCAATAAACACAAACATACGAGAATATCACAGAAATTCATGTTTGTTTTTTCACTTATGCCTCTAGGGTCTCTAAAATATCAAAAAACAAAAATATAAGAAATTCTTTTAAGAATTTTTTTAAAACGGGATTAAAATTCAAGGATTAAGGATTATTATTACTACTATATACATTAAGATGGGTGTATGTATGTAAGTAAATGCGATATACATATTTCTCAAATTTGTGAATTTTAATTAAAAAAAAAAAAAAGAAAAAAAATTTTGTTTTCATCACTAATTGAAATAAGATATTTTTAAAAGAAATTTGAATAATTTATCCTCGCATATTACAGAAAAATAGTATAGAAACAAAAAATGATAAAAAGAATTTTCTTCTACAATTTTATAAAGGCCAAGTAAAGTAAGTAGGCGTTCAGGCCTTCAAAGAGCATTTTATAGAGAAAAGAATGTTATTCTAATAATTAAATTAAAAATAAATTAATTTTTATTTTTTTTGTGTGTGTGTGTGTGTAGAAACTATAAAAATAAAATGTTCTAAAATAAATAATCAAAAAAAAAGTTTAATGTAGGCGTTATGGAAAAAATCATGATCAAAAGCGTTAATATTTTTTGAATAATTAAAATTGAATGAAATTTGATGAAATTTTAATTTCTATTTAAAATATGAATTTTAGATAAAAGCTATTAAAGTTTCCACTCAATGATTTCCAAACCATTCTCATTTATACTTACAATTCTCATATTTAATATAAATTATTCAAAAATTTTCTTTTAATTATCGTGCTGTCTTTACAAGCTTTTTCTCATAATAGATTGTACAGATTGATTAACAGTGCACCGTGACCATCACGTAAGAATATTGTGTCCCGCTTACCAGGGACACGCCTCTATAATACCTTTCGATACCAACCCCCCAATGATTACAAGCTCATATCGAAAAAAATTTAAATATTTTCAGAAGAAAATTGATTTTATCAAAGATGCCAATAAAACATACTTCTCCATGGTATGGATGAAAAATGTCGGCTCAAGTTCAACTACTTCTAAATATAACTTGCAGTCGGTTATGTGCTAAATCCAATTAAATATACATAACATACATGGGGGGAGGGAGGGACATTCTCAATTAAATATCCAATAAAATAAATTATTACTATCCCAGAGTCCTCCTCTGAAATTGCCATCTTACATCTTTTTTTAATAGAGTATATTGAAACTATTAATTATAACATTAATCATCTAGTTTATGTCCCTTTATCGTTTATAATATTAATTATAGAACGAAATGTTTTATACGCTATAGTTATTTAATAGTTTCAATTCTTAACCATTTTATCTATTTTCATCACATAAAATCGGTTCTGCTTTAAAAACTAAACACAAGAACAAATTTTTCTCTTGTTTTTTTTCTTCATACGAGTATCTTATTTGATTTTATAATTTTATTATACAAATAACGATCCTTTTATTTCCTAAACAAATATCCTTTTTTTAACATTACCAAAAATATTTCTTGCAAAATTCATTCTTTCTCTTTTGTTCCACTCCCTTATGTAAGGCTACACAAACAAGCAAAAGTGTAGAAAGGCTTCAAAAGATTTATACATTTAAAAATTTTTTCCCTAATAAATTCTCGGTCACAACTCAATATCTTTGAATTTAAAATTTATTTAAATTTTAATCTGATAGAAAACGATAATAAAAAAGAAAACATCAATAATAGTTAAAATATCACTTAGAAAATTTTCTATTATTTGTGTACAAAGAAAAATAAATAAAAAGTTTTTAAATAAATTTATTAAAAATAAAACTTTTAAAATTATTTTTGAAAAAGATCAAAAACAGATAGACAATAATTTTGTAATTTTTGGTTTTTGTAGAAAGAACACACAGGAAAACTATTTTACAATAATTTTTTTTTGATGAGCCTACAAGGAAAATGAAAAAGTTGTTGAAAACCATAGTAAAATATCATTTTTTTTTGTTAAAAGAACAAACCAAATCCAGTAATATAAATTGGTATTTTATACTTAAATTCAATTCTTCAGAGCAAGTTT